TCTTCCTTTAAGAAATTGCTGAGGTTTGTGTGGGTGAAGAATGCTGTCTGTCACTTACGAACAGGCTGACAGTTAATGTGCGGGTCACTGAAAAAAGACAGTCAAGTCATTCATTCATTTAACCTCATGTTGGTCCAAAGCAGCATGCATTTCTTTGTGCGGGTCACTGAAAAAAGACAGTCAAGTCATTCATTTAACCTCATGTTGGTCCAAAGCAGCATGCATTTCTTTCTTTCATTGTATGGACAAAATAAACCAACACATTTTTCAAAATATTACCTTCATGTTTCAGAGAAGTCAAGTCAGTCAGTCAGTCATACAGGATGGAACAACATAAGGGTGATTAATGACAATTTTCATTTTTGAGTGAACTATCCCTCTTAAATAAAATCTTACTGGAACTGGGCTAGAGCTGTCCATGCCAACATCACCATAAAGAAAATGTATTACTACTACTACTAGCATGTTCTTACTGTTTGCATAATTAACAGACATCATTTTTGTATGTGGCTCTAAAATTAAACAACCTTTTCATTTATTGGAAAATTGGTCTCAGGTGATTAATTAAACAGCACAGGCTCTTAAGTGACGTACATGTTAGTCTCATGAGGACACTGCATTGAGCTCAGGGAAAGACAATATACAGCAGTTGAGAGAAAGATTCATGCTGTTTCTATATTAATTCATTGCCATGTTACCAATTTGTCATTCATTTAACCTCATGTTGGTCCAAAGCAGCATGCATTTCTTTCTTTCATTGTATGGACAAAATAAACCAACACATTTTTCAAAATATTACCTTCATGTTTCAGAGAAGTCAAGTCAGTCAGTCAGTCATACAGGATGGAACAACATAAGGGTGATTAATGACAATTTTCATTTGAGTGAACTATCCCTCTTAAAATCTTACTGGAACTGGGCTAGAGCTGTCCATGCCAACATCACCATAAAGAAAATGTATTACTACTACTACTAGCATGTTCTTACTGTTTGCATAATTAACAGACATCATTTTTGTATGTGGCTCTAAAATTAAACAACCTTTTCATTTATTGGAAAATTGGTCTCAGGTGATTAATTAAACAGCACAGGCTCTTAAGTGACGTACATGTTAGTCTCATGAGGACACTGCATTGAGCTCAGGGAAAGACAATATACAGCAGTTGAGAGAAAGATTCATGCTGTTTCTATATTAATTCATTGCCATGTTACCAATTTGAACACATAAATGAATCTATAATATCTAGTAATAGTAGCCTAGTATTAGTAGGCGATAGTATTTAACACTGGCTATCATGACAAACTCTTTATTAAACTGTCAGTTTGATTGAAAATAATACTAACGTTGAACATTTCTCAAGATTCTGAGCAGAACAATGAGGAAAAGCATAACAGGACTTACCGTGTGAGCGTCTATTAACATTCGTCCAAACTGCTCGTCTCAACAAAAGGAACCACGTTGCAGCCACCACTACACTGTGCGTCTGTTTCTTACCGTGGAAGGCAAAGGCGATGAAAGCACTATGTCAACTCCCCCCTTTCTTCCATCAGCACCTGTCTGTCTATGATTGGTGCTCATCAGCCAACACACCTGGTGACTTTAATAAAAAAAAATGTTGTGTCCGACGCGCCAGGGCCTCGGGCTTTGAGGCGGGGCCTCCATCCATAACCGTAAAATCTGCTAGTCAACCAGTCAATACAGGCAGCTAAATACTAGCCTCATTGTTCATCGGATATAGTTGAATTAGGCCAATAATGTTGCCATTTCAAAGCGGGTCCCGCCTTCTGAATGTTTGCCGTAACATGCTGCCTTCACGTGCTATCGGAAATTTCCTATTTCCCACTTATGAAGTCGTGATTACGAGCTTGTCGTATTCAAGTGCTTTACTAGCTGTGTCCCAATTCAAATACCGCATCCTTCGGAGGACGGGTCCTTCGAAGGATGCGGCCGACACTGCCTTCGAAGGACGCTCGGAGTCTAGCCTTCCCAGGATTTCCTAATTGTGCCAGCAGGTGTTCCTGATTAATGCTCCTGTTGCGTGGCAACGGTGCAAGAAGAGAACTGCCATCCTGAGATTTGTTAATGAAACTGAAAATTGCCAAAACTGATTTACTTAAGTCAACACACAGACGGAATTAGCGTTATTGCGAGCGCCGCTTGCTGTGAAGCGGGAGCGACCAGCCGGCAGAGGATGTTAGGACAATGGAAATATGCACTCAAACACTCTGGAGACCATCCCGTCAAATGGGTCCTTCGAAGGACGTAGCCTATGAATTGGGACACAGCTAATGTCGGAAATAATAAAAGTAGCATCCCATTGGTTGACTATCATAAACATTCACCACGCTACACATGCCGTTTGCTGACAACTCTGGAATTTTGGTCAAATACATGCTTATTTCACTGCTTATAAAACATGCTTCGAATGATCGTTCATATCTAGCCTATAAATACCTACGGTGGCCAAGAAGTGCAAAGCAAATCACAATTCTGAAAACAAAATAACAAATTACAAACGCAAATGCAAGTCTAAAAAAGGTAGGTATAGTTTGAGACAGCGCCATTGGTTTGGGATTACTCACCGCTGACTGGACGAGACATCTGTCAATCATCGTATACAGGAAGAACCAGCCGAAGAACAGCAGATTCCTGGTAGAAAGTTCGGAGATGGTATTAAAGTAGCTCAGTTTAAATGTATTGTATGAATTGCCCTTACTATGGAATAAAAAATACGGGGTGTCTATTTACATTTAGTTAAAAGTGGCTGTAAAATATCAGCTCCAGTGGCGCAGATGGATAAGTGCATGTCGTTGGCTTTTTGACGCGATCGACCGAATCTCGTATCACATCGTAAAGGCATTTATTTTCAATGAAAATTAAGGAAATAATCAAAAAGTTGAAAATAAAGTATCGGGTAGGGTTAGGGTAGGTTTGTTTTTTAGACTTGCATTTGCGTTTGTAATTTGTTATTTTGTTTTCAGAATTGTGATTTGCTTTGTACCTCTCTGCCACCGTAAAATACACTACTTAGCGACAAGACAAAGGGACGTAGTTGTTGTGAGAACAGCATTGACAGCAGCAATGGTTGTCCACTCCACCATGTTTAAAGATTATGACCCGCCCAATAGTGATGTACGGTTCGCGAACGAATCGTTATTTTGAACCGGTTCTTTTTAGTGAACCGGTCGAGCCAAATCGGACTGAATCGTACAAAACAGTTCGCACCTCGAGTCGGCACTGATCCACAATTTTCTAAAGTTTCTCACTTTCAGACATGCCTTACAGTCCCTACGACTCGAAACACGTTCGAGAACCGTTTCTTTCGGACACGTTCCAACATGAATTTTGCCTAGGGCCTCCAAATTCTAGAACCAGCCCTGGATCATCTTTAAAACAAAGAGAGGAACAACAGTATTTCCAGGCCTGGTTCTAAAATTAAATACTGAGGGTGTTTTAATAGTAAAGTGCTGATGTAATGTATAAAGGCCCCGATATACTTCAAACGAAATCGAAGACACTGCAGAATTAAATGTGCACCTTGACTGTACTGTTTCCACCAAAACTGTACATCGGGAGCTCCACAGGGTCAATATTTATGGTCAGGCTGCTGAAGCCAAACCTTTGGTCACTCGTGCCAATGCTGTGGACTACCGAACCATTATGAAGGACCATGTGCATCTAATGGTTCAAGCATTGTACCCTGGAGGTGGTGCCATATATGAGCATGAAAATGCACTAATACATTTTCCTCCACCCGCATCATGAGTGAGCTAGCCACTGTTCTGCAAGATGAATGGCTCAAAATCCCTCTGGCCCCTGTGCAGGACTTGTATCTGCCATTCCCAAGACAAATTGATGCTGTACTGGCAGCAAAAGGAGGCCCTAGACCAGGGCTGTCCAAACTCGGTCCTGGAGAGCCGGTGTCCTGCAGAGTTTAGCTCGACCTTGCCTCAACACACCTGACTGGAAATTTCTATGCCTAGTAAGAGCTTGATTAGCTGGTTCAGGTGTGTTTAATTAGGGTTGGAGCTAAACTCTGCAGGACACCGGCCCTCCAGGACTGAGTTTAGACAGCCCTGCCCTAGACCATACTAATAATTATTAGTCTAAAACCAGGTGTTTCAGTTTCATTGCCCAACCACTGTATATATTTCTAAGTTAGCAATTTTGAGTATTAGTATATACATTTACCTATTCTCTGACAAAAAAAATGATTGTGATACTTTTTTTAATGTGCAAAACTATTAGATTAGTTTGTCTCACAAACTCTACTTGTCCTTTAAAATCTTAAGCATATGCCCTAAATCACATGACTTGACAGAAGTGACATAATGTCTTTGGAAGAAAAGCAGCTCCAGGAATAAAGAGTTAGACATAAAAATGTTTTCTTAATTTTTAGAAGACTTATTCAATATTTAATCTAAACTTATTTAATATATAATCATAAGATGTCCACCCCGTTGTGTCAGTTTATACTGGACATGATAATATATATATATATATACAAATCTGTTTAGTTAAAAATCCACCAAACAGTGGGAATGAGCCTTAATTTTATTGTATTTTATTTATTCAGGTCATTTTATGAGACTTTATACAACTAAAAATCTCTTTTTCAGAAGTGTGCTGGCCAAGATGAGCAGCTACAGAATTTTTTTAAATGTTACAAATCAACAAACACCATGCAAATACATATTTAAAATATCTGCAATTCGAATCTTCCTTTACCAGAAAGTATTTACCATGAAATACTTAGTTTAGCTTTGTAAAGTTACAACCTCCTTGACAGCAACCAGTCTGGTTTCAGAAGTGGACATTCAACCGAGACTGCCTTGCTCTCAGGTGTTGAAGCCCTAAGACTAGCA